TTACCGAAAGAACCAAAGAGTATGGATTCCTGCAGTCACGAAAGCTTCAAATCAAGATGGCACACCATCGTTATAATAATCCATAACCAATACACTGCTAGATAGAGTCCGTCCCCAAGCCGCTACCATATCTTACGTTCCTGAATTTTAACAAAGACAAAGATCCACCATATAGTCTTAACAGACTGTTGGCCCAAGTGCTGTTAGCCCAAGTGCTGTTAGCGAGCACCTACATATTAAAGCCTGGATGGCACACGAGGGGGTGGGTGGTCAGCACTGGGCCCGACCACTTTTGTGTCCCCCAGTGGCGATGTTTACACACCGCACCAAGGCTGAGCCGACCTAGGGGAGGCCCAGGACTGGTTTTGATAATCGTCACTGGTGTTGGCTGTGAGTGAGAATCGAACTTGCGTCGCCGGGTTTGTAGCACAGCGCGCTAACTGCTACACTGCCGCTCCCGACAATTTAACAATCCGCCTTGCATCTACAAGCGTGCTGATTTCATCATTCAATATCTGAGGCCGACATTCCCCCGGACTCCTTCCTTCATTTAGCTGCCACTGCATCATTATTCTCACACACACTAGCCATCATCCCTTGTGGCGACATGTTGCTGTCCAAACCCGCATACCTTTCTTCAGAGTAATAATCATGTCTTTGACCTGTCTATGTTCTCAATTACAGGTGTTTCTCTTACAGTTTCGAATCTTAACTCCATGTATACGCATCAATTCCCACTCACTCAAGTGCCTTTTCATATTCTTGTTGACTGCTTTCATGCTCCCATCGCTCGCTGTGACATTCAATAATTTCTGTCGTGTTCTCTGATATTACTTTCTCATTCTTTTCCTTATTGTTTTACGGAGTCCCAAGCATCAATGGCTTAGTTTCGCGTTTACGTCTCTTTTACCATCTCTCGTATTCGTCGGCAAGTCTTTTGTGGTTTTAGAGAATATTTTGCTCTGTTTGCCTTTTAACCTTTGCCCCCACTTTCAACGCACTATCCATAACTATGCTCCAAGTTAGTGAATTCTTCGAAATGGGAACATCCGTCTCGTCAATTTGACTCGATTTAATTTAATTTGTTTGGGGTAAAATAGAACGTTCATCATCCCGCACGGACCAGCGTGGCGAAACATGGTCAGAACAACTCCCCCCCCCCCATCCCCAGAAGAGGCCCTCATCCATCCAGAAGTGGATTCTCAAAAGGGATTTACATGTTAATGTTTACAATCAAGCACTTGTGTATCAAAACACGCTTGAAGGTTGTTGTTTCCTGTGGAGCTGCTGTCACGGGTAGAGTTCGCGAAATTGAAAATCCCCTGTTGGCAATGTACAGCCACTCGGCATTGAAAAAATTAACACATTTTTGAACCCGGCCCTACAAGGGAGTTTATATACAGTACCCCCACTTTATTGGTCTTTACAACACTGGCAATTTGAAAAATATATATATCTTCACGGCACTAATACTGAGATGACATACCACGCGAGCTGGTATTGCCGCCCAGTTCGACGAATCTTGTTGTGCAACCATTAACAAGTTGGGGGAAACGCCAACTGCGAAGACCCTGCCAGTGCATTGGCGTATGAGTCACATGTTACTACGCATGGTCATGTGTGCAAGGGGTGCCTTGAGCGTTGTTGTGTTTGGGGGATGTGAGTGCGGTGGTGTAGGTGTTTTGTTTGCGTGGTAGGTGTCGTGGTTAGCGGACTGCACTAGGGACCGAGTCTGATTCTCGCTCACGGCCAACACCAGTGGCGAATATCCGAACCAGTCTCGGGCCTCCCTTAAGGTGACTTAAGCCTTAAATGGCAATCTGGTGCCATGTGTAAACATCGCGACTGGGAAGACCAAGATGACTGGGTGTGTTGCTGGCCACCCCCTACAACACCCCCTTGTGTGCCGTGCCGGACTTGAAAGATGTTACCTGAAAGCACTTGCCCTGAAAGTCTGTAAAGGCGACACCGGGGATCTTTGCCTTTGTGTGTGGTACCCTGTGGAGTATTGTAATTGTTGCAGCGATTAACGTTCGCGGTGTAGATCGTGCGTAGATTCGTCGATTAATGTCGATTGTTATGCTCATGATGCATACATCGAATCGCGTATCTTAAGAATCGCTTTTTATTTCATATACGTTGCATGTGATGTGGCTGACGCGACCGCTGCAGTCACGAGAGGCAGCCGTGTTCACCGCGGTGGAACAACGAAAGAGAATTGACCCTTCAACCCCGACGCGCACGAACAACAGCAAACGCTCCGCGTGTCCCGAGTTTTTGTCTTTCCCCGTGCGCGGTCAACATTAGCGCTGGGTCGGGGTGGGGGGGGGGAGAGAGACAAACGCGGCCGTGTATCGACCCTTAACGGGTGCTCGCTCCTAACCGTCCCACCAGTTGAAAAGGGGAAACGCGTCTTTGTCTTGGGAAGGGGGTGTGTGTGTGTTGGGGGGGGGGTCACGACAAGGGAAGGCTGCGTGACAGACACATGGGCGTGACGCACACACCTTCCAACGCCCACACCTCCGCGTATCCTCCTGCCCCGAGGCCCCAAGTCAACCAACTACCCCCCCCCCCCACGTCTTCCTGTTCAGCCCCATGAGGGACATCTGATGCCACTTCCAGCTCGACGCGGGCGTCGTCTGCCCCTGCGCAAAAGCCCCCGCGCGCCCTCAGCTGTCCCACTTGTGGCCAGGCTGCCTGGCACGAAGACAAAAAGGTCCGCCCGTATTGCCTTCACAGACTGTTGGGGCAAAGTGCCAGTTCAGCCTCCTTTGAGGCTGAATTGACCGATTTTATGGGGAGGGGTTGGGGACCAGTTCAGATAATCGTAACTGGTGTTGGCCGTGAACGGGAATGTACGTCGGGTTGCAGGGTTCGTAGCACAGCATGCTCAACCACTGTGCCCCTTCTCCCCCAGGACTCAATCGCACACTGCCATATATGACATCACCAACGCATTGCGTTGCAAGCAGCCCACACCCCTCGTACGATAGATACGGTTCCTCTTTTTTGCTGTGTGTGTGTGTGTACAGTGCTTGTAGAAGCTATAATCGTAGTTGGAACATAAGCCACACGTCCTTGCATTACACTCTCAATGTAAGGGTGTGTGGCCAATGATGCGAGCACACTTCAGATATGAGCACAGTTGCACTTGCTCCCAAGGGGTGTGCTTATATCTAGAATCTGCTGCGCTGTACTGTCGGGGCGAGTACTTGTTAGTGAGTGCCTATTATCACAATCTTTTATTCAGCCTGGAGGGATCCGATGAGCTGTGACGCTCTTTTTGCGCAGTTGTCCAGTATGCCGTGCTTTCCCTATTAAAGGCAGTGGTGGGTTTCAGCCCCTTGGACTTAGGGCGAGAGTTGACCGGGAGGTGACTCATGACCAGGGTAAATGTGCGACCCACCCATCGCCACCAAACCTCGGCCGGGAAAAGCTGGGTCACTGCGATTGAGGAGCAATGTGCTCCCACTCCACACGCACAGACAAAATATCCCCCTGTTGTATAGTGTTCCTACCATTTGTGGCAAAGTGCCGTTGGCGAGGTCCCCGCCCATGTCTGTTGCACAAGTGTGGTTAGTATAGCTGGCACTACACCTGGTGGCATTTGTCTCACTAGTGCTGATGTTTGCAACACTGTATAAGGTACTCAATTACATTTTAAGATTGAGTAAAATAAGCAGGGGAGGTGGTGAGGGGGTGACGCAGGACAGGTTCTAATACAACTTGCCACTGGTGTTAGCCCTGGCCAGGAATAAAATTCGGGTTACTGGGTCCATAGTTCAGTGCACTAACCACTGCGACACCTAGGGTTGCCACAGTCCTGGAATTGGCATCTGTGTTCGGGTGGCAGCAATCAATATGTACGGACATCTGCTGGTATTGTATTGAAGCTAATCATGGTAGATTGAGATATGTCTGGGTTTGGTCCGAGTCGAAAAGGTGGAAACCCTGGCACCAGCACTCCATACATACACACACATTTGCTAACACACAGGCGCGCACGGGCACACACACGCACGCGCTCCTCTGCCTTCATCCTCGTATCATCGGTGAGGTCCGAACGCGGACACATTTTGTTGTGACGCTCTACTCGGGGGACTCCAGTTTCCTGGGGCATGACTCGTCTTGTGGAAAGTATAAGTCACGTGAGCTTCATCTCTCGGGCAGGGACACAGAGAGCCCCATCCTTTCTCTCCCATCAATCACAAACACTCCAAGGCCCCCTTTGTGTCCCTATCCGGGTCACTCGGTGTTGTTGAGATGAAATTAGATTTGGTCAGCTCGTCACACGGGTTTCCTGGTGCAAGTTATGTGCATGCTGTTCGAGTCGTGGACTGTCTCCTGCCCCTATATGCTTTGCTCGTAAACCGGATATGCGGAAATGTCAGGGGATGAATGAAAGCAAACAACTGACCAAACAAAATATTTGAATGATGGTGATGATTAAGCGCTCTCTATCTTTAAGATGCCTATCTCTGCTTCAACCGGGCAGGTTGCTTGCCTTGACCGTGCGGAACTTGCTTGTTATTTTCTGGTTCGAGTAGGTTTCGGTGGACACGCGTGTGGTGGGGTAAAGTGTGGGTAACTCCCAAGCATGGAAGAGTATGCCAAATAGCCTTTAAAGGGACTCTCTTGATCTCCCTCAAGTGGATGCGCTCGCGCTAGCAGTGGCGTGAGCAAACAACTTCAGGCTTCCACCTTTATAGAATACAACAAGAGTGGCAACTGTACACTAGCTTTGTCCTTAAAAGGACTCATCAGGATTGCAGCCTGAATCATCAGCATGCAACAACCCCCCCCACTCCCCGTCACAGTCCTTATCAACGGACGGGGGAAGTCTGCTTTACTTATTTACTCGCAGCAATAACGCGCACCTTTGGAAGTTTGCCGCACCCTGCAGGGGAATTTCACTCGGGGTGACTGAGAGCGCCGCCGTTGATTTGGGGGTTTTGTGACGTCGTGCCAAAGCCTGCCTCTCGCGGTTTTGTCTGCCGCAGATAAAAGAGAGGAAGCCAAGAGGGAGCTCGTGGGCACTGCTCTGCTGAGGCCACCGTCATCAGGAGCCAGCAGCACAGGTCTGTTACCGCTCGCGCCGCACCTCCGCGCCTTTCTGTCGGTAAATATCGGCAGTCATCATCAGAATGTTTAGCCAAGTGGCTGAGTGGCTCCAGTGGGCAGCATGCTCACCGCTGAGTCACTGCTAGGGACTGTGCAAATCCTACAACCGGCTTGGTGACTTCTACTTGGAGTTGTAACGATTCACGGGCCTCCCTTGCGCCCCACCCCCTGGGTATATATTCAATTCAAAATTTGGGGGGATTTAGGGTTATGCTTTGAATCAAGATGTGTTAATTTCTTAGCATGGGGTATGTAACGGCCATGGCCAATCGTGGCTTCTAGGATCATAATCATTACATTAGATACAACATTTAACGAATTGAAAAAAGTTCATTCCTACACACGTGATCAATATGCAAGTATCGCGAGCTTAAGTATTTATATGAATAGAGGGATTAATGCACCGTCACACCTCTAACTTATACCGAGCATTACCAAAGCAGTAGCAACCGTGAACAAACACTACAGTTGAAAAAAAAAACATTTAACAGTTGATTTAAGAAGGACATATTATTACTTATGACTGTTATTCTTAATGCAGTAAGCCTTGGCAAAGGAATGAATTTAAATCTTCACTTGCCACAAAATTATAAAAATGTGCTCATAAATGATTGGATTTCAACTTGGTTCTTAACAATAGGCAGACCCCCCCCTTTTTCCTTTGCTGTTATTTTGTGTTTTGTTTAAAAACCCCAACCGTTATGGAAACGGTTTAACCCTGCCAAGAATCGCGGCGTAAGCCCTCGCCCACCACAGACTCTTAATGCTGCGCCAATGGCAAGGAATGCGGTGGGGTGGGGGGGGGGCGGGCGAGCCCGTCCAACCGTTGCGTGTCCTTTTCGCGAGCAGATGTTGCTCCGCTGCGGTCCCGCGGTGTCATTTCCTTCTGTGAAGTCGAACAGAAAATGAGCTCACTTCTCAGGCCGGCGCTCAACTTGAGCCGCTGCGAGTCATTTGCGTGGCCGTGTCACTGGCACACCGAATGATTCGTAAGTATAAAAAAATGAAGGGAAAAAATCTCCCCCCCCCCCCCCCCCCCCCCCCCCCCGGATCTGCCCTCCCCCCGGATCCGCCCTCCCCCCCCCCGGTGGTTTCTGTCGGGTGTAGTCAAGTCTGTTGAAAGCGGACGTTAAAGACACCCTGTATTGTCATTTGTTAAGGGGCGGGCCGTTTGCTCGACAATTTCGTCGATCAAGGTCCCAGATTGGCTTTTTTTTTGCGCACCTAATTAATTTGAGACGTTATTTATTTATTTTGCTTCACCAGACGAGAGGAAAAAAACACTCCTAAAGACTATTTCAGTAGAGCGCTCTGTGGAATGTTTGGGCATTTGATGTTTTTTTGAGTCTGCATACGCGTGGAGGAAGTGTGAGTCAAGTCGAAGTGTCTCTCCGTGCTCTCATGATAGTGACGGCTGCGTAGTGTGCTCATCTCCTTTGCTGGCCCTGAGCCAGTGGTGGAAATTCCACTTTCTTGACGTGGAGGCAAAGTCTCTCCCCCGTAGGTGATGCAAATAAATATAAACCTAAGGGGAGCGGTTTTGGCTGTGGTGTACAAGGAAATGAATTATGTAAAAAACCACCACCTGCATCATTAGCAACTGCTTTCAAATAGAAAATATACAGTAGTAAACATTTAAAAAGCACCGATTTATATAATTTAATATTATAAGGCAATATTTTCTGACATAGGTGGTGAGTTTATTTGTTTCTCCACAGGATACTTTTTAATTAAATTTAGAATTGAGTGTAAGTAAAAATGTGAAATTGGCTCAGTTTAAGCTGCTGATTCTCACCTACTGTCGTTTAAACTTGAACGACTTCTCTGCTACCGTCTCGTCTCCGCAGAAACAGGGGGCTGTCGACCCGACTTCAAAAAAGTCAAACTCAAACAGACAAACGAGGACTCTGCGGATACGGAACCACTGATCCCCGCTGACCATAACGGCGGCCGGCCATCGCTGACGACCACTTCGGCCCCAGCAGCTGAGCAAGTGGCAGCCGAGCGGGCGACCGACGGGAACGCGAGCGAGAGCGCATCCACCGTCCCGGAGACGTTCGCCGGCGAGCCAGGCGATGATGAGGAGCCCGCCGGTGCTGGGCGGGCTGGCGTGAGAGCGTCACTAGCCGGCGGGGACCCCACGAGCGGCAACGTCGCGCTGGAAGCCCTGCTGCAGGCCGTGGGGCCCGAGCTCGGCGGCCCGCCGCAGCCCAGCGGCATGTCGGCGCCGTTTGGCACTGGCGAGCGGGCCTACGTGACGCACGTGCCGTCCCCCGCCGCCCCGGCGGCACTGCATCGCGGCCTCCCGGCTGTCGTGTGCCCTGCGCAGCGCCCGCACGTTGAGCACCTGGCCACCAGACAGCACCGGCAGTACCAGCGGCAGTACCAGCAGCAGCAGCAGCAGCAGCAGCAGGACGTTGGCCGGGCGGTGCTCTCACTAAGTCCGGGGAAGATGGGTGAATGCCTGACGGTGGCCTACGCCGCCAGCGCCCTGGTGTCCCGGCCGGCGTGCTTCCCCAACGGGCAAGGGGGCAGGGCGAACGTGGGCGGTCTGCGGGCGGGCGAGGAGGCGGCGTGCGAGGCACCGGGCGCCGCCAAGGAGCGGCCCAAGCGCCTGGGCCGCTACGTGTGCGGGACGTGCGGCATGGGCTGCGCCAAGCCCAGCGTGCTGGAGAAGCACGTGCGCTCGCACACGGGCGAGCGGCCCTACCCGTGCAGCATCTGCAACAGCGCATTCAAGACCAAGAGCAACCTGTCCAAGCACATGAAGTCGCAGGCGCACGTGCAGCGCGAGGGCGGCTCGTGCGGGGCGAGCGCCGAGCAGCAGCAGCAGCAGCAGCAGCAGGGGGAGGGCAGCGGCCGGGACGACGGGGACGACGCCGCCTCCGATTGCGACGGCGACGACGACTCGGACACGGACGACAGCCCCGAGGCGGCCGTCGCCTGTGGCCGCGTCGTCTTGGGCTGGGTCCCGACGCAGTCCGCCGCCTCGGAACCAGGCGCCTTCGTGCACGGAGCCCACGCGGAGGCCGAGCCCGCTCGGGACGACCGGAGGTGCAACGGCGGCGACGGGCGGCAAGCGTGCGCGGACGAGCGAGCCGAAGCCGCCGTGCGCACCCGGGACCCCTCCGTGGAGCGCTCGCAGGAAGTTGAGCGGCACAAGTTTGAGATGCGCCACCTGAAAATCAGCTTCGAATCCGAGTCCGGCAGCCCCATGGGGAAGAACAGGAACGACTCCGGCTACCGGTCTTTTTCCGAAAGCCTGGAGCTGCCGTCCGTCACGCCAACTACAGCGCACCACTTCTCCTTCACCGAGGGCGGCGGCCGTAGCGGGGAGGCGGGGCCCGTGAACTCGCGGCCACCCGTGTTTGCCGTCGCGCCGGCTGCGGCGGCCACAATGCGGATGGTGCTGCCGAGCGCGGAGCGCGTGGCCATCGACAAGCACATCGGCGACCACATCGACAAGCTCATCTCGCAGAACGAGGCGCTGGTGGACAACCGCGAGCTGGACAGCGTGAAGCCGCGGCGAGCGTCGTGCGCGCGCCGAGCCAGCATCGACTCCCCGCGGCCCTACACCTTCAAGGACTCGTTCCAGTTCGACCTGCGGCCCCAGGACCCGCACGGCCGTGCGGGCCCCGAGCTCATGAGGAGTCCCCCGCCGTTTTCCCCCCATGGCAAAAGCGGCGTCAGGCCCTGGATGCCGCTCTTCCCCCCGCCAAAAGAACACGGCGCGCACAGGACCGACGGCAGGGCGTCCGCGCCGCGCCTCTCCAAGTTTGCGTCGTCCGGCTCGCTGGGGCACAGCTTGGAGTCGCAGTGCGACGACGTGTTCACGCCGGGGCCGGGCCAGAGCCCCCCGCCGCAGTCACCGCGCCTCACGCGCCAGGAAGCCGTGGACGAGGGCGCGGCGCGTCTCAAGACGCAGTCGGTGGACGAGGCGTCGCGAAAGCAGCCTGTCGCGGCCGAAGGCGACGGCGACCGTTTCCCCAAGAGCCGCTCGCTCGACGAGGTGGCCGGCGAGCGGAGGCCCGAGGGCGGCAGGAGGGGCCGACGCGCGGCACGCGGCCGCGGGCTCATGTTCGAGTGCGACACGTGCGGCGTCAAGTACCGTAAGCCCGAGAACTACGAGGCGCACAAGAAGTACTACTGCTCGGAGCTGCACGCGCCGCGCACGCGATCCCTGGGCCCGCAGCCCGCCGGCAACACCCACCCACAGCTGGGCCACTACAAGGTGTCGGTCGACAGCTTGGAGAAGGCGCCGCTCATGAAGAAGCGCAAGAGGGCGCACGGCTCGGGGGACAGAGACGAGGAGGAAGCGGCAGTGCCCGGCGGCCGGCTCACGCCGCCTGCCGCGCTCGGCGCCCGCGTCCTGACCACGTTCGTCGGGCAGCCGGAGGCCGACCTGGGCAAGTCCGTGACGCTGCTGGACAAATTGGGTGCAAATGGCGGCAGTGCCTTCGTGTTCCCATGCGTGCGCTTCGAGGGCTCTGATGCCAAGGCAGGCGGGAGCGAGCAGGCGTTGTCTTCCGGCGCCTTTGCCAAGACGGTGCCACTGCTGTGCGTGCCGCCCCGAGTTGGAAACGGAGCGCTGTCTGATCTGGGGAGGTTGGGCGACAGCCTCGCCACCTTTGGGCGGGCAAAGTCTTTCGATGTACCGCCCATGGCGAGAGCGAATTCATTCGATGTGACGCGTGCTGACTCGGTCGGCCAAAGAAGGATCGGAGGTCAAATCTCCGTGATCCAGCATACCAAATTCCTGAACAAGGCGAAGTCCGTTGACAGCTGCGAGCCCCCCGCAGAGTGCTCGGCCACACTGTTGAGAAGCGCTCCGTGGAAAGCGTGCGACGTCGCCAGTGGCCGGGCATCGAGCGACGAAGTTTTACAGGAAGCATCGCCCTGCGCCGTCCGCTTCCAGAACAGAGCGATGGTTACACCGCAGCCTCCACCGACGCTTGCTGGTATCGCCATCAAGATTCCGAAAATATTGATCAGCACGGACTCGCAGAAGAATGAGTTCGAGCAGCAGCAGCAGCAGCAGCATGTGGACGCTCCAGTCAGCGATTGCCTGCAAGTGTCCGTGGAGAAACTGCACCCGAAGAAGCAACAAATGCGGCGTGTAATATTGGGCCTCAATTTTGACGACGCCTCCAATGGGGAACCGAGCAGCAGGAGAGGCCCCTGGGGTTCCAACCCGGCAGACGGGGTGCATCCAAGCGTGGGTCTCGTGCAACCACTGGAGCAGCAGCGGAGGGGATCCATGCGGCGCACGTCGTCCGAGCAGGCGGCTGGCTCTCCACCGTTCGTCGAGGTGGCTGAAATGCTCCGCAGCCGCTCGCTGGACTTGGGCGACGAAGAGCCAGGTGCCGCTCCAGCATCGGCCATGCGTCCGCCTCCACGCTCCACGAAGCTGCACTCAACGCTGCGGCCCTCGCCCTTGGTTACCGCTTCCACACCCACCTCAGCGGTAGAGCGTGGCGAGGAGCCAAATCGAGACCAGCTCTTTATCCCCCACTACCAGATTCAGCCGGGCCGCATCGCTGAACGTGCGTCATCACCCCTGATAAACAAGCCTCAACACCGCTCCGACGTTCTGGAATCTGTACGAGATTTTGGCAGCTGTGACGCCTCAGTGCGCGACAGGTGTTTAGCGATAAAGGGTCGTGAACCGGAGGACTCATGTGCCGTTCCTAAATCGTACTTGCCGCCCCAAAGTGTTGCCATACCTGTGTCATGCTCGGAAGAGCTCCCATGCGGCTCGACATCTTCACCACCTCAAGGCACTCTCCAGCTTTCCCCTCAGGTGTCAATATTATCTGCACCAGCGGCCTTACCTCAGGTTCACCCACCGCTGTCACCATCATCATTCCACGGGGACCGAGAAACATCATCCCCATCGTCCAATCGCGAGAGCCAAAGTAAAACCCTCACGCCGCATCCCACTCAAGCTCCCATTGCTGCTGCGCCATCCCCCGAGGGTCGGGCATCAAGTGCAGCGGCGGAACATTCGGCCAGAAAACCCTCCCCGGCTCCGGAGTCGGACGAGCTGAACGCTGTCACAGCTCCTGGAAATCCCGCGGCGTCTCAGGTTCTCGTCGTTCTTCCTCGCGGCGCAGCCCCAGTCTGCTCGGCGCCTCTTCCAGGGGACGCTGGCCCGTCCTCGTCTCGGGCTCCCGCCCCGGCCGCACCGGTCGCTCACCCCGACCCTTGCCAGCCACGCGGCGCCGGCTTCGATGCGTGCGCCTGCGCGGGCCCCCCAAACGCTGGCGTCCTCGTGGCTCCGCCGAGCGGCCGGCACAAGGCGGGCTCGCGCCCCGCTTCCCCGGCCGCCGCTCCGTCTACCGCTGCCGCTTCCCTCGCGGGAAATCCGTCGGCGGAGGCGCCCTGCAGGAAACGACCGCTTGCCGCCGCGGACGAAGCGGGAGAGGAGCTCGCCGCCGAGCGGCAGCGCGGCAAGTGCGCGAAGCAGGCGGCGTTCGGAGTTGACGGCGCGCGGACGAACGCCGCTGCCGGCAAGCCGCGCAAGCCCTTCCTGCAGCGGCAGGAGAGGGTGGAGGAGCCGTCGGTCTCCGCTTCGAAGCCGGAGGGGTCGGCGGAACACGCCTCCGAGACGCCCGGGAGCAGCGGACGCGACTCCTCGGCGACGGTGGCGGCCGGCGAGGTCGACGCCGCCGACCCTCGGCCCTGCGCGGCTCCGAGCGGGGGAGGTGGCCCCCCTCCCCCGGGGACGTACGGCACAGCAGCGGACGTGTCGTGGTGCTACCTGCAGGCGCAGCCGAGCCACCACGCGCAGGGCGACGGCAGGGCGTCGGTGTATTCTCGCTGGGACGTCGGCGACGGAGAGAAGGCGGCGGGCGGTGGCGCGGGTGGCGCCGGCGGTGTCGGTTGCAGGCCGCCGCCGCCGCCGGCGTCCAGTGGGCCCGGCTGCGGAGCGTACACGACGGCAGTGGCTGTGCCGCAGGAGTACGGGCGGGTGGTGCAGTCCTGCGAGTGGAAGAGCAGCCGGCAGGTGAGACTGGACAGAGCGACTCGCGGCTCCGCTCGGCTCTCTCTGAATGAACGTGTCGCATTTTGGTGATATCTGTTGAGCCTCATAGTACAGTGCAATGTTGCGTATCCACCGTGGACAATTAATCGCCTACACCCAGTGCAGTACTTGTGCATCGTGTAAGCGTCACTTTCTATAGACGTTGAACATATCCAGCGTTTTCACATATCCACCTATATATACCTCAGTTCCTAGTGAGTTGGATATGCGGTGTTGTACTTGTTTAAATTGTACAAGACTGTGAACATGTTTTATGGAAACGTTCAGGAAAACAAACTTTTTTTTTAAGGAAAATGTATCAGGTGTAGAATAACATTTTCCTTTACTCGCGAGCGGTCTAATTTGGGTCTCCCTTTTTGTCAGTCGGATCCTCGATAGAAATGTTTGGCCAATTCCATAAACAAGACTTTGGCTTCATGTGGAAAGCAGGGGTACCTGGAGAATACCCACGCATGCCAAGGGGGAGGGGGGGGTAACACTCCAAACTCTAAACAGATAGATCTCTTCTTCTAACTCCTGGCCACCATACAGGCCTGGTTATGATTTAAAGATGGGAATATTTTGACTAAGGTGCAAACACTCCTCTCTAAAATTGTTTACGATCCTGAGCAAAATTAACACCAAACATAACAATTAGCTTACTTTAACAAGTAGGCTTTCGCGACTAATATCATCCATAATAGAGGGTTTTTTTTTTACTATAAGGGACTAACTTATTAACTAAAAACAAGTAAACATGTGCATTATGAGACCTCCTTTGCCAGTAGCAAGATATAGTAATAGGTTTTTACCCTTTTATCTGGCACCAAAACTGATACCTTTATAGAAGGGATCATGTTTGCAATAACCACAACACAAGCAGTCAAAATGCAAACAAAAAGAGACAACTCTGATAATGATATGCACTGTCCTTGAAATTGATTGGTCCACACCCAAGACGGCTTTTCTTAGAGGCTAGTCTCCACTGGTGTGGGACCAGATGACGCCAAAAGGCGTACAAGTAAACATGTGCTTGGCCTATATTCATATGTGAGCAGTGAAAAGTAATTCTAAACTTATTTCAGGCCTACTTCATAAGCTCTTTTTATCCTGTGCAACATTGTTATAAAACCAGCAATCTTCTGATTAGTTTGCACACCATCGTAGTAATTTGCGAGCACCTTTCCCAGGTCTGTATTGCACAAGATGTACTCTGATGAATCCCCGGCGAATTAAAAAGACGCACAAGACTGAAATTAAAATTCAGAATGATCACATTTTTTTATCGTGCTGGAAGCTTGATTATAGGAACGTAATGTTTCATTGGCTCTATTTTGCCCACAATACACACATTGAACAGTGAATGTAAGAATCGCTTACACTTCATGATAATTGTCTGTTAAATGTGATAGTCAGGACATTGTAACTGACGAGACGCGCAAAACAAAGGAGGCGGCACAAACGAAAGAAATGGAATCAAACGAATGGAATCACGACCGTGAAATGTGACAGTTCGAACGTTGTTGCCGGGGTTGACGGTGGGCGATGGGGTGGATTAGGGTCACTTAGTTACGTGCCTTGCGAATACCCTTCTTGGAAAATGAATGAGCAAAGGCGGCTTGCGTTGCTCTGAGCTCGTGACGGCCGGAGAGAGCTGTCGCTGGAGGAATGCTGCCAAACGGCGCTCACTCTCCCTGCCGCAGCCTTTTCCATGGAAAGTCTTCAGATTCTGCGGGTGGGCGTGAGGCGGGGGGGGGAGAAGAGAGACCCTTGGGAACGTGGGTTGTCACGACTGCAATACTCATGTGCGTACAGTATACAGAGAAGCATTGGCCCCACTACTTGTACTGTCTAGCTCTCCGATGTGTTTTCTGGTTGTACGGGGAGTGTGTGTGTGTGTTTTTTTGGTATGATGTCCAAAAATGCGGTCCACATGCCCGGGAGCTTCTTGAGGAACAGAATCATGCTCCCGGCACGCGGACTGAAACGTCGGGACATTATGCCGAACAACACGAGCAGCACAACCATAAAACGCAGTGAAGAGCTAATTACTCTTTGGTTCTATACGGTAAAGTCACGTAGGTAAAAAATAAAACAACAAAAATTCACGACGTTTCGGCCACAACACAAGCGGCCTTCATCAGGTGAAGGGACCAGACTGTCTCGAAGACTGCGCTGGAGTGCGAGACAGTCTGGTCCCTTCACCTGATGAAGGCCGCTTGTGTTGTGGCCGAAACGTCGTGATTTTAGTTGTTTTATTTTTTACATACGTGACTTTACCGAATAGAACCAAAGAGTACGGATCCTTGCAGTCACGAAAGCTTCAAATCTAGAAATGAAGAGCTAATTCTGAACGCCGTTGTGAATCCACTGCTGAGGGAAGGCCCTCCCCCACGCCGTGTCGGTCGTGGGAGTAGCTTGACCATACTTCACCGCTCGTTGTTGTGGATTGGTGAAGTTAGCAAGGGGAGGAAGTGCCTAGAACCGTTTCAGGGCTCACGCGCCACTGAGAGTGGCCGTGGCTGGGAATCGTTTTCAGGTTGGCAGGTTCATAGTGCAGTGCATAATAATTACCATTGCCCCACGGCTTCCCCTGTGTGCATAGTGTGCCGTCATGAGCATGAAGTTTAAAACATTTCATTCTACAGTGGGCTGTCACAATATGTTGATTTGAATCCCGATACTTACAAAGTTAACATTAAGCTTGCAATATTTCGAAGCTCCGTTTGTTAAATATTGAATTTTACTTAAAATTTACATTTTGTATATACACTCAAGTTGCAGTGTAATACATGCTCAGAATGAGCATTGGGTGCAGCTCGTATCGATAGGTGACCCTGATTCACTGGGGGAAATTACACCTTCCTGTGATGCGTAGTACTGGACGCCGTAAGATTCAAATGCTTTTACTCTTTTTAACGATGGTGCAACTCTCATGGGCATCTGTGCCCTAAACCTCAGTGAAGTGTGTGACCAAAGGGTCCCCGTGGTTCTAGAGAGGAGAAAGCGAGTGAGAGCGTGCGTAGAAGTGGCACCACGGTGGCGAGATATTAAATACCTCACCTGTCATACAGGAGGTTGTGGGTTCGATCCCGACTCTGGCGCCTGTATATTTGGAAGTTTGCACGTCTCTCTCCCTGTGGTCGTGTGCATTTTTGTCCGGGTCCTCCGGTTGTTCCCTCCACATTTATAAAGCACGCGTTTTAGAGTATGTGGGTGCTATAAATGCCCACACGATTAAGCCACTTTGTCGAGCTCACATTTGTTGCCAGGTAGCATCTGACAAAGAGCTACGTGGCTCGGTGGGCCTTAACTTGGTAAAACATATATATTAAGAAATAGTTAGATAAGGTCTCTTGTTTGGCAATGTTGTACCTCGTGATGGTTGGGGGCCAGGGAGCTACCGTAAAAAAAAAAATCCCCATTGTGTCTTCAGGTGCTGACGTGGCGTTATTGCGTAAGAGGCCCAGCATGAGGAGAAGAAGGACCCGACCCATCCCGTGGCGGGATAACGATCCTGTTTACATACTAAAGTGACATCATGTCCCATCCAGTTCTTCTGCTTATGAGGGCACAGTGTACAGGTTCCCTCTTGTGTACCACTGTGCATGTGGTGGTGGATGTGCAATTTAACAGCTCTCAGACAAAGCAATGGAACGGCTAAAAACCACTTACAACTAAAGCTCTGACAGTTGATGTTTATGGGCTGTACAACCGAAGAAGACTTCGTGGGTTTTCGCCGTTGTGCTGTCAATGCTTTCCGATGCGTTTTCGGGTTGTTACCGCATGTTTTTCACCATAACCTATATTTGTATGTTGAAATTCTTTTGCACCGTACGTATCCAACCGTGCTCATCGGAGGTGCGAACAATATCCAGTGTTCTGCCCCCACGTGCCGGGAGCCATCTTCGGGAATGGAATTGAGCAGCTTGCATTCTCCCGTGGTTTCTGTGTTGCCGGCTGCTGGTTTCTGATGTAGGCCGGCCGGACAACATGCGGTAACAACCCGAAACACATAAGAGAGATCCCTGCTTGTATTTGTACCTTGATATATATATACCTCCCAGCGTATGAGCAGCAACAACATGGCATAGTTCATTCGAGCTCGGGTGACAGTCGATAGTGAATCGGACGGTAATTAAGAATGGTTTGCCCCGAGTATGCTACGCTTATGGCGTTCCATGCTTTGGGCTGCGTAGGGTTATTATTATGATTCGGCGGCATTGGCGCACACGCTTCTTGAGTTATATTAAGGCACACAAATGAGACAAGTGGCTTAATAGATAGGTCGTTATAGCCACTAATGGCATCTTCACTCTGGACTGTCTTTTTAGGGCCTGAAATCCCTTTGGATTTAAATATATCCCTAATCAAGGGACTGGCGCAGTCTGAATGCTAAGCAAATCAAGGCTGTTGGGTGGTGACCTGAGGCTTTAATTGGCTTGAATGACATTACTATGCGCTTGCTATTTGTTGTTAAAACACATGTTGCCAGTCACTGGAACGTCTGGTTTCAATTCCCAGAACAGTCACTGGTGATGTTACTAAATGTATCACTTTGATGTGGACTTTTTTGATTTGCAAAGAGTAAGGACATTGATTTAATTGTCTTGCAGTGTAAAAATCACAATTATAAAATTACCCACAACTATGTTGTAAAAACTGCAATATATATAAATCATTCCCTACACAATTACCGTTATCCAGACCTCACCGAGGGAAACAAATATGAAATTATTCTTAATTGTTTTCAAGTGAAAAAAAGTTATGGTCGAAACGTCGTGAGAATTTTTTATTGTTTTATATATATTTTGTTATTTTGTTGTTTCTCTTCAACGTGACTTTACCGAAAAAAAACTAAGAATATGTTTTCAAGTGATTAAATAATTTTGAAGTGCCACAAATTCATCACATTTCTTTCACGACCTTTGAAGTCCTTGCCAAGTGCCATGCCAGGGTGTTGTTATTTGTCATTCAGCCACCCGGCTGCTTTCCACTATTTTCATTTAAGTCTAAAATACTTTTCAAGTCTCTTCATTCTTTTATCATGAGCGGCAGCGACTCCCTTTGTTGTTTAAACATTGCTCGAGTCATTACCAACATCCGCTCAGCTCTTCGGCGACTCTTGCGTTACTGCAGAACATTGTTGATGATCGAGGGCGACCCACCCATTGCTAAACAGTCTGAGTTTGTGTTTTGTGAAACTTGAAAGGTCTGACTCAGTGACTCATAAAACAAGTGCCAGTGTTTTGGAAACCCGTTCTTTTTTGCCAAAGATACCGAGTGCTATCGCAACAGATTGCTTGCGGAAGGTGACCATAAATGTTATTAAAAGTGATATTTATTTTTTTATACTTAAGATGCTGTCGTGGTGCAGTGGTCAGCAGGCTGGACTTGCAAACCCAGAGGTGGTCGCCAGGTTCGATCCCTCGGCACGGAAGTTGAAATAATGGGAAAAGGCTGTGACACAGTCGATCGGCAGCGAGCATGTGGTGGTGTGGCGTGTGGGGACTCCCTCCTCTTCCAAGATGTTTGGCTGGGTAAACAACCCTCTACAGAGGCTCTCTCGATCTCCTTCTAGTGGAGCCCCTTCCCGTTCGCGGTGGCGCGAGCGAGCAATTTGCAGGGCTTGCATCTTTATGGTTCTTCATTGCATGACATGATGCTGATGGTATAATGACCGTTTAATTGGCAGAAAATGGTTTCAGTGTTTAGCTATTGTAGTGTAGTGAACCTGGTCCTGTGGTGATTCGTGCACCACACCATTACTTGGCAACCAGAGTTCGATTCCCGGACATGACTAACATGAGTGATGATGGACCTCTGAGCCGGTCTTAGCCCCCAGCCCCTCCACCTACTCATACCTGTATGTATTAAACGTTGAACTTCTTTCACACTGGACGTAGCCAACCGTGCAAATGGGAGGTGTATTTATTAAAGTTATCGTATTATTTTTACATGAAAAAATGGGACTTTAAAATGGTCCTTATATGAGGTGGCTGGATAGGTTCATACACTCCTCCTGCTACATTATCAGAGTGTTGAGCTGGCACCACTGAGATTCTCAGTTTGAATCTGGGCAGCCACCCGTGATTAAATTATAGTGAGTTGATGGTCTCAGCCTGGTCTCAAATAAATTGCACCTGAACAAAAAAAAAGCAATATTACATTTGTTTTTCATTTAGTTCAGCAGTTTCAGCCCTGGGAGCTAAAACATTTATGGTTGATTGGCACGCAACAGAAGACCTCTCTCTACAGGTGGGGCACATGGATAAGAGACAATTTAATGCGTATAACAAGTAGTGCTGTGATCTCACATTCCAAAGGGGGGGTTCTCTAACAACAGGCGGATGTTACACTACTTTCTATAAGGGTTACGGATGGAATTTCTTCATTGCATGACATGATGCTGATGGTATAATGACCGTTTAATTGGTGGAAAATGGTTTCAGTGTTTAGCTATTGTAGTGTAGTGAACCTGGTCCTGTGGTGATTCGTGCACCACACCATTACTTGGCAACCAGAGTTCGATTCCCGGACATGACTAACATGAGTGATGATGGACCTCTGAGCCGGTCCTAGCCCCCAGCCCCTCCACCTTCACCAACGTGCGCTAACCAGCATGGTGGAGTGCGAGTGGTGGATTTTCAAAGGGCTGTACATAATAATAATTATGATCTTCTTTGGTTCTTTCGGTAAAGTCACGTAGAATGAGAATAAAATAATAAAATAAAATAAGACAATAAAATTCTCACGACGTTTCGGCCACAACACAAGTGGCCTTCTTCAGGTGAAAGAACAGAACTGTCGGGACGACAGTGCTTCGACAGTTCTTTAAATCGAAAAATAATTATGATTGATCATTTATGACGTTAGCATGAATTTTATATTTTATTCTGAAAACAATTAATATCTATATACACGTGTTTGTTTATTATTGTATTTATATCACGGATATTTCCATGCATTTACAACGTTGATGTATTTGTGCCAATATTGTGTGGAAAACCTGTGCATAACGTCCACCAGCAAATCAGCACTTGTATAAAGTATGTAATGATTTAAAACGATAAGTACAACACATGAATGTGAGAACAGTTTCCATTCAGATAATGTTTCTTGAGTTGCAACTGATTTCTTATGATCGATTTAATAAAACTTAGATTTTTTTTTTGCTACCTAACCTTTGCCAATGCAAACATGACCATGTGCCAACTGTTCCAGTATTTTCAAGGCAAAATATTTTGAGCATTCTCTCATCAACTTTAGTCGAAATATTCTGGCTACCCTCTCTCTGTAATGTGAAAAGAGCCCTTGCCCGAAACATCAGCCTACAACTGAATACATATCAGGCATCTTAACTATTTGCTTCTCTCTCGATTCCATTAAGTGTCATAATTCAGGTGTCTCGATTCGATTCAAGAATATAAATTATATATTACGTGAATGGAGTGAACTCTAGTAGCTGTCTGGGTCATATTAACCCATTATATACAATGCATATGAATACATTAATATTTTACACCCACACTTGTATGCATGTACTCAGTGGCATAACTCGATTATCAGCTCAGAGGATGCGGCAATCGGCCAGGTGGGGCCCCCATTATTGATTTGATTTGTCTCGCACGGTCGCACCACTCGTCGGCACTGGATTCGAACTTGACTCCGGGATCCACTTATTTGGGGCGCTCAAATGGCAAACGTTCATTCTTTGGTTCACCTAAACAGCACTGACGTGGCTTCCAGTGAACGCGCCCACGTGGAACGAAGTGTGGCACCTTATTATACCTTCCCTCTATTCGCCCCGAACCAGTATGAAAGGTTCCGCTCGCCCACCCGCTTTAACTATGGCAACAACATAGAAATGGACGTACGATGCGAAATTTGCCGGAGCCAAACTTTTACTGCTCTTAATTAAATTGAAATAAAAGGTATAAAGTAATTGAAAGTATTCTGATTAAAAAAAAAGATGGATTTGAACCGCTTTTTAAATAAGTGTTTTGTTTTTTTACACTGTTGTTGAAAATATATCTTAACAGTGGTTGTCAAGGAGGACCCCCCCCCCCCAACTCGTAACTTCGCTCACCAGCGGTGGGGCCCAAAGCACCCTCTGCCCCCACGCTCGCTACGCTACTGCATGTATTTTATTTGTAAGTGTAAGAATAGGTTTTAAACGGCACATCTTTACAGGCCTAATATTTATGATTGCGAGGCGAAGTTTCTAAACACTGTTTTAGTGTTTCTAGCTTGATGTATTCATTGTATTTAGACTTTTCACAAATCAAAATTTCATTGGATTGAATTTCCTTCAGATCTCTCCGGCTTGCATGAACTATGCTGGGATGTACTACACAAACACACATCAGCCAACTGAAAAGCGTTCCTGAACCAGAATTTAATGATGTTAGGATGTAACAAAGACACGGGGAACGCACGTTATTAACCTCTTCGTGGAATTGCTTTGAATCACACTGGGATGCAATATTCAACGATGCTGGGACGTAACGCGCGCGCGTTACGTCACTCCGTAGCACCGTTCCTCGGCACTCGAGGGCCGTGGTGGGGCCCTCAGCACGCCTGTCCGTTGTTTCCCGTTACCGACACCCGAATGTGTGACCGGCAGGGCCCATCTTCTGCTCCCTTTTCAGATTTGTCAGGTGAAGGACGAGGGGAAAGCTGCTGTGCCTCAGCAGGCGCCGGCCCACCAGGGGAAGGCGCCGAGCCTGGACGAAGCGACGGGGGAAGGGGCAGACGGCGCTGTCCCGGAAACGAGGCGCGTCAAAATCTTCGAGGGAGGGTAAGCGTTTCGTGAAAGAAGCTGCGAGCGCCAACAATTTTGTCGGAACAACTGAAGCGACGCCTTGTCCTGAGGGTTCTTCTGTTGTGTCGGTCTGGGCGGCCGCCTGTGGTTATAACGTGTTGTTTATTTTTTTTCATTTAATGGTCTCAGCTTCGTTATCAATGGCACAACCCTTCAAATTGTTTGTTTAAGTAGGACCTCGTTTTGAAAGATACGTGTGCAGGTGAGTAGGCAGCAAACGGCTGACTCACCTGAACCAGACACAAGCACAATATATTTGTTGTGGCCACATAGACCATTGTAGGACTTCATGCATAGTTCTACGATGCATGCAATTGACTGGGTAACATTATTTGTTTGTGATAATGACAATCTTATGCTCTGTTGTCTTTTACATAGAATTTATTGCCACTACACTTTTTTTTATTATTTCGCTTCATTTTGACTGAGAGCCCGTAAAAGCAGATTAATATAACCAGTCATGTACAGATTGGATTTATGGGCTGCTTTTTCGCGCCAAAACAATACAAGTAAACAAAGAAAAAAACTCAACACACTCGTCAACGACACTGTGGCCTTAGAAAAAAAATATAATCCGTTGACGTTTTGGGCAACGGCCCTTCTTTGTGGAACTTAAATATAGAGGCAAGAGACATAGGGGGCCTAATGATAAATATTTACATTTTACGATGACCAGTTTTCAGACGGACATATTAATAGTTACCTCATGGCAACTATTTTGTGCTTCTGCTGCATCACTACCACGTCAACAAATACTTTGTTTAATTCAGACGTGTACGGTTCTTCACGCCATTCATCTGTTTGAGATGATGCTTTCATGTCTGTTAATTGTCTGGAGATACCTTTGTATATAGAAACCACTTTCCAAAACCAAATAGTTTTTGTGCTTCCTCTATAAAAGAATACATTCCCCAAGCTCTTGCCAAACAGGCCTTGTGGCTGTAGATAAAATAAAAACTGGGTCCAAGGATCATTGTTATTTTAAGCAACTTATCCCAACATTTTTTCCTTGTATTCTGGTTGAAGCCCAAATACAACAAGGTTTTTTTTTAAGTTCACTGTTATATCCCAGTTTTATCACTTAAAAAGGTTTAGAACTTCAGTCTACATTTGCATTCGGAAGCATGATTTCAGCTGCACACTGGGTTTTTGTCTTTGCTTTGGGATATAATTTTGTTTATCGTGTGGAAGCTGTGATTTTTAAGAAAACTGGATGTCTGGAATTCTGGTTTTTATTTATAGCTTCAGACACGGCTTCTCGTGATAATGTGAACAGACCATAATCGGATTTGCAGAATGGGCTTTTCCCTTGATTGGCTGCTTCCTGCTTTCTATATAATAATGGTTCTTTGTTTTCCAGGAAAGTTTTGGTGAGTCCGTGGACTCCTATGGGAGGAATTTGCTTTGGGAGGTTGAGTAAATGCCTTAAGTGTTTGGCGTGCGTAGGAAACCAGAGTACCCATGCACAAGAGAATAGCACAAAAACCTGTACCAAAGGTCAGAAAGCTGCTGCTTTCCATTGGCCACCTTTGTAGGTAGCCCTCTAGGCTGAGAAACACATTAATGGGATGAAATCTTGTTGCCCCACCAACCCAACATCAGCAATTCTTAGTTTCCAAGGTTCCGATAACCTCGCTTAATTAAAAGGAACGAATGAAATCCTCTCTGTTACACCTTGAATGGTGCTGTTGCTCGCCCACTTGGAATTTTGGGTGCTTGTCCTTTGCAGTCGGAACTTAAATAAAGAGTTGCACTTCGTTACTGGTGCAATAGAGGCGTGCATCTGATGCGGAGCTGCTTTCTGGATGCTGCTGTATTTGTGCGTCAGGGCAACACGCTTCCCCAGGTGCAGATCCTTCCTTGCGAGGCCTTGAGGGCTGACTGCAGCGCCCATCTCAACGTCCCCCCCCCTCCCTCCCGCTTGTCTGTTGATCGTCGTGTTGTCTTACATCCACGTCAGCACCGTCGGGCGCTAAATTTAACGAGACCCGTCTGAGCGCCGTTGACATCATCGCGGTCACTAAGGCTTTTGGCGCCGTCGTCTGGTACAGCACAGATTGTACGCGCAGAGTTAAGAGAGAGAGAGAGGGGGAGGTGGCTTCCCTTCTCCCATTGCTATTAAAATATAATTTGGTTTTGTTTCGACATTTATCCCCATCGTCGCAGGGCATTAACGTTATTTTTGGAAGCTTGCACAGGGTTCGGACCATCGCCGCGTGCCAGACGCGTCAATTTAGATAGATGTGAAGTTTTCATTGTATTTCAGCGACGTTGTTATGGTGACACCCGGATTGGTAGGAAAGAATCACTGAAATCTTAAGTGGAAATTAGGCCGCTGAGGCTATTTTGAGTCAAAGAAATTAAGTTTCAAATGAAATGGATGAAGCCATCGGCGATGGCATCAATTAGGCAGCACATGCTGCTTACATATTGCTGCTAAATTTATTCTACAATGCATAATTCAAATGATAACCACGATAAAGCATATTATAATAAAAAAAAATGTTTCAAACTGTATTTGACTTTAGTAAAAAAAATTCTGGGAAGTTACAACATGAAAATTCTAATTCAAATTAAATGTATTAAACGTTGGGTACTTTTTTTTGCGAAATCTTGGAAACAAACATTCAGCCTTTAGGGGACAACAATGAATGTCACAGAAACAATTTCAGCAGCATAATGAGGCCCACATTACAAAACTAACCTTGCCATGTTTGGACAAAGATAGATGTGGCCAATTTGATTTTTTATTTAAACACTTTTATATTTTCTCCAAAGACCTGATAACATTTACATAACAGAACACTCTATGCCTGATTTTGTCCCTGGAACGTTACAGGTTTTTTTTTACCAGGTTCGATCTTCTTAAAGCCTATGTTGTTCCTGGAGGTAATATATAGTGGTTTTGTAATATCAAATAAAACGTTTATGTTTATAACAGATACCATAGTTTCCCAAACAAATTTTTAAAAATGCCACTCCCCCCTTACACACAGGTGCAGTTGATTTAAATTGTCTCAGTTGGATTGACCTCTCCTACCGATGCCTTGGTCACAATCGTGGTGGTGGGGTAAAATAGCTCTATTGTACCGAGGATCTCACATTTGAATGGGACGATTGCAAACTTTCCGTGCTGCGTTTCCAATGCACATGCTTGAATGGCCACACTTTGAACTGCTGAAGCCGCAGAATAGGGTCAGGCTGACGTGCACATTTACACGCTTAGTTTGTGCTTCCACTTGAGCGAGCCCTAGAGAGCCTCTCGAGAGGGTACCCTTGGCCTACTCTTTAACGCTGACCAGACGTCTTAAAAGAAGCTACAGAAACCCACACTTTATCCCACCACACGTGACCTGCCAATTGACTCGATGGGAAAATAATTTCTTTCGAACTGCCTTTTGTGTTTATTTTTTTCTCCCGCACCTCCGATTAGCACTGTTGGCTACGCACGGTGCGACATAAGTTCAACATACTTACAACAGTGGGTAACCCACTTATACTGCTGGTAGCGTTTCAACTTCCGCGCTGGGAGATCAAATTGAACTGGTGACCTCTGTATCGCAAGTCCAGCGTGTTAACCATTACATCATTGCAGCATCCGTGTGTTCAAAAGATATTATGGGTTGTCCCCATAATGCAGCGTGGCTAAGGCATTTTGTAACCTTGTACGACAAGCAAAACTTTATTGTAGGGTGCTTAGTTTAGGAAGATAAGCCTTGTTACTGTGAGGAGCTGGTAAAAAAGAGAAACCCCTTTTTATTATAAAACTGAAACGGGCCATAATTGGTCTCAGTTTGTCAGCCCTCAGGGGAAACTAAGAATATATTTTTTCAGAGTGGGCAAAAGAAACAGCATTGCGGTGTCTGTCACACGCCATAAAGTCCGTTAATCAGCCATAATTCTTACCAAATCGCCCAAAGCATGTGTGACATAATGCTTGCGCAGGTCAGTGTTTATTTTCACAAGTGCAATGTCGCGGGGCACACCACATCATAATTTACGGTTTCCGAGAGAACTACAAGAGATATAATTTCACTTTGTTTTGTCGTTCACGCTCTCTCTCTCTCTCTTGACCAGCCCATGAGTTATAAATACACAGTTACCTTGTCACCACTTGGGATTGACGCCCTCAACTCAGGGATATAAAAACCATGCACGAGCATTTGAAAGTTCAGTTGCTCATGTCCTTTTTAGTCAACCAAGGGAGTTGCCATTTAGATCAATTGCCTAATTCAATGTAAACTGATGTTACAGTTTTCAGAGGATATAAACTACCGTTTTATGCCATTAAAATATGTTACAAGCCGTGAATGTGGTTAGCTTTGATTGCTCTAAAATAAAGGGGAATAGTTTTTGGAGCCATTCTCAATCTACTGCTATCCTTACTCAAAGTTACAGCCTCCTTTCCTGGCACAGCCGTTTTCCATTTGAGGCTACTCATGCACATGCCTTGCTTTCGTTGCTCCATCTCCACCTTTGATTGTCCCAAAAAATGACGATGTTTTCCCCTTTTCGTGGGTGCTTTTCCATCACTCCGACACGATTTTGGTCAACTTTTCCAACCACATGTTCTCCCCGGGCCATCTTGTTTATCTTAGTGCCGAGCGTGCCGCCTCAAATTCCTGTTGTATTCTTTAACCCTTCCTCTCTTTGGCCGCTCTCAAAGTGTGCGTCTGCGTTGTGGTGCGTAAAATATATCGCACGCGACTGGCAGAGCGCACGTAATTACAAATTTCGTTCGCTCGTTTTTTTTGTTTTCCTCTTTTTTTTTTCGGAGGTGCATCCAATGTTGGCACAAAATTCCTCTCCTTTCGAAAAACTTTCCCGTGCTGATGCAGTGTGGAACTTATGCTCATGACATCACTCGGCTTTTTCAACGGGGGGGGGGGGGGGAAAAAAAAAAAGTCGCGGCGTTGGAAATCAATGAAATAAATTCTAAAAATAAATAAGCCCATCTTAAAGCCGTCCCAATGTAAATACGAAGCACGTCTTAACTGACCCCCTGATTGAGGCTTGTTATTTTAAACATAGCACGTCCTCGGGAGGGCTCATTCTTTGTGCCGAGCACAATGCTGTCGTCAGCGGGGGGGATTTAAACGGTCGCCGCTGCCGTAGTCGCACGTCGCCCGCGCGCTTGTTTGTTCCCCCATCCTCACCGCGCAAAATCTGCCGTGCGGCGTGTGCTATGGCTTTTATAAATACATATATACACACGCACGCACGCACTTAAGTCTTTTCGCCATCGTCAGTCAGCCTCGGTCATTCCACTGCTAGACGAAGGCCTCCACCGTCTCCCGCGATCCTGCGATGTAACGATCCACACCCCATCGCCTTCACACGAGCTGAATTCGTCGCTCCACCTCCTCGGCGGGCTTGCTCGTGGGTACGTGTTCCATTCCTTAGCCGCCGCTCCGTCATTACACTCTTGACCTGCCAAGTGCGCCTGTGTTATGATACGTATACCATATTATGAGTGTTTAATACGAACTTCAGCCACCGGGTTTCTTGGTGTACAGAAAGATATCATCCGTATGGACTCCTCTCTTGCTGTCTGCATCTCCAACTCTTCCCGGTGCGTGACACCTACGACCAAATCATGCTTGACACCTGTGACTGGTTCACCCTGAATGCTCCCAATCTCATGAAATCTCGGAAGTAAAGCCGCGTTTCGCCTGTTTAGTAATTGGCTAATTATTCCCCCTACCGGCCATCATGTCTGGAATTTCCAAGACCCGAAGGCTTGGGCTCTGTGGCGCTGGCCAGGAGAATGGAGTATGGCAAAGGATTATTTAAGCTTACTTGTGCGACGCTTTGCGTATTCCGGCCTCACGTGTGTGGGTTTTCCCCGGGCGCTGAATGTATGTACACATACAATCGCTTAATAACAAAAACTCTCTCACCGTCGTCAGTGTTAGACACGACCCATTCTGCATGGCCCCAGGCTGATCTGAAAGCAGTCTGCTGGTGAGACATGGTCTTGGGGCATAGAGGAGTGTGGTTGGTTTTGAGATGACGTGTTGGTGTGCTGGCAACTGCTTTGGGCAATGAAGGGGCAGGCGAAGCGTTTCGGAGGCTTGAACCGTGAATCTTCATGGCCCAGGGTCTAGCGTGTATAAACGTGGCGATGGCGTGACTTCTTGTGCTGATGTCACATCCTGCTTGCTGAACAGAGCTGGGAACGGATGCGAAGGCGTTGCGTGAATGAGGCCAAAATCTCTGCCCCGTGGTCCCTTGTTAAGGAGTGCAGTTCCATGGGTTATAGGGCAGCGTTCATATTTTAATTTACTGGAACCAGACGGGAAAACAAGTCGCAATGGCAGTGATAATAGTTGTGGTTTAATTAGTGGAACGGCCTTTATTGTGTTTTTTTTGTGGAAAAAAAATATATTGGCAGCAGAGCATTAACATGCCCATGGGGTGTCCTAGTATAAGCGTGACGGTTACTTGTGGGTGGAAAACATTGGCTGAGCAGTGCGTGTCTCTCATTGTTCATCTTGAGCCAGTAGTGTCAACTCAGTGGTGCATTGCTAAAGATGGAACCCAGTTCCCCCTTAACACCAACACTGATGACTTCCACACTAGTACTGGAGCATGGCAGGTGGTACTAATTTTTCTGACCCCAGAGGGATGATTGTGAACTAATTGAATCCTAGCTGGGATTTGAACTCGCAACCCTTTAACCTTGAGCCCATGACTTTACCAGTGAAGTCGCTACACATGCAATCCCAGTTTTATACTGGGTTTTTTGTTTTTGCTGGGATTCGAACCGAGGTTCTCAGCAATGCTGGCTTGAACCTCCCCCTCTTAAGCCGCTCGTCTCACGTGTCACTCATGCCCACGGATTGTTTGTTTTATCATTTAATTTATTTTTAAATGACATCACCGGGCGAACGTGGCGGCTTGTCCTCGGGGACCGTGGCGGACACCTGCACCTTTTTAATACCTTTGACCTGTGTTAAAGTTTATGGCCGTAAACGCCCTGGTTTAGGAAAATATAAAAAATACATCTCGCTGTTGTAGAAACAGGCAGAGTGCCCAGTGTTTGCTCTGGAATGCCTGGCACAGGAGAGATTTTAAATAGCCCAGCGGGACACGGTGCTGTGATGTCACGCACCGAGCAGACGTCCGGATGTGATGGGAGATGATCGGGAAGCTCTTTTTTTGCACTTCTAAATTAGAACCGTAACCAAAATATCAGCAAAGCCACTTTCCGGTCCATTTCTCCACTGAGGCCGCTAAGCACTCTGGGGAGGGGGGGGGGTCAGAGGCCTTTGTGTTTTCAATGCCGTGGTTTCAAATGTGCTAGCAACCTAAATGTAAATATAGTTTCTACATCACAGATGTCACCCCTTCCTCATACACTCTTGAAATAACTCAAAAGGGTATTATTCAAATTAAATAGTAATTTGATAATAACAGAGGCCTGGACAAATTAGGACAATATAAAATCTCCATCCCCTCTCATCGATCTCTATCTCAAGGTCTCCCCCCCCCCACCATACCTCTCCACCCTTCTCACTCCGCCGACCACAGCAAACCGCCACGTTCTACAGAGCACGTCCAATAATCTGCTCATCGTACCCAGAGCCAGGACTATGTTGGCTGCGCGGCAATTTTTATGTAGCTGCACGAGCAACCGTCCGGAACTTTTCCCCACTGCAGATACGTAGCATCCAAGCACTAGCCACCTTAAAGCAGCAGCTCTTAAGGCTCTCACCTGTCCAGGTTGTCACCTGTCCAGGCTCCTACCTTGTTCAGGCTTTCATCTGGTTTAGGCTCTCATCTGGTTCAGGCTCTCACTCGTTTAGGCTCTTACCTGTGCAGGTTCTCACCTGGTTGAGGCTTTCACCTGCCCAAGCGCTCACCTACCCAGGCTCCCACCTGGGTAGGTGAACGCACCTTCGAGTTCTCGATCGAACATTGCGAAATGTGCGCGCGTTACTAGTCGTGTTTATTATTCAACCTACTCCTCCATTACAAGCTCCCCTCTCTCTTTCTCTGCCCACGCTCACCACCAGGTACAAGTCCAACGAGGAGTACGTGTACGTGCGGGGCCGTGGGCGGGGCAAGTACGTGTGCGAGGAGTGCGGCATCCGCTGCCGGAAGCCCAGCATGCTGCGCAAGCACATCCGCTCGCACTCCGACTTGCGGCCCTACCGCTGCAACGTCTGTCGCTTCTCCTTCAAAACCAAAGGTGAGCTCGGGGACCCGGAGGGAGCGAGAGAGCACGAGCGAGAGAGACGTCTCCGTGCGAGAGAGGCCCTTGAGACTGCGCTAGCCTGTTTCTCAAGGGGGAGCCGAGTTGCACGCGCGAACAGACTCAAAACAGGGTACGGATGTCTGCTCCCAAACACGCTGCACCGCGTGCCCTGCACGCCTTATCAGCGCTGGACTGTACAGCCCTGCACTTACACCCTGCACCACAGCCTGGCAGCATGAACGCGCCGTAGGGACAGCACTTTTATGAGAGCCCTGACCTACATTCGCACCACCCCTTCGTGGAGCGTTCCAGCCCTGATGGGTTGCTTGCAAAGCAGCAGCACCTGCTCCAAAATCCTGTGCAGGGTGCAAGGGGGAATGGGATGCCGATCCCCTCCCGAGATGGGGGGGGAGGGGTGGTGATAGCGGCAGGGTGAAATGGTGGTGCAATGAAAAGTGCTAATTATGCTGTGGCCCGGGGTCGATATTCTGCTATGAAAATAACCTGTACAGGGTCTCCCACGTGTACCTTGCCTTAAATGAGTGCCAAGTGCAGTGTGAACATGAGACAAAGGTGGCTGGGTGTGCGGCGCTGACCATTCCGCCATATTCTGTGTGCAATGCCAGTCTTAATAGGTGCTCGCTAACAGTGGCTTAACCCCGACAGTCTGTCATGGCTACACATGGGATCTTTGTATTTTGTCAGTATGATTCCATGTGTGCGTGCGCGCGCATGTGTTATCTAGAAAGTGTGTGTGTGCATGTTTGAGGATGGTGTAGCGGCTTGGCGCGCTGTGCTATGAACCCGACGACTCGAGTTTGATTCCCGCTCACGGCCAACACCAGTGACGGTTATCTCTACAAGTTCTACGTCGACTCGGCCTCAAATGAGTACCTTGCGCGGTGTGTAACAGTATTGGCACTAGGGAGGCAAAAGTGTTCAGGCGTGGTGCTGGCCACCTCACAACCCCCTCTTGTGCCGTGCCGACCTTCTTAGGTGCTCACTAACATCACTTGCCCCAAGAGTCTGTTAAGTCCATCTCTGTCTTTGTTGCGTTACGTAGATAGTGTGTGTGTGTGTGCGCGTGTTTAAGGGTGTCGTGTGGCTAATTCACCACTCCTTTTCTGTGTCAGGGAATCTCACCAAACACGTGAAGTCCAAGACTCACAGCAAAAAGTGCGTGGACACAGGAGTGACACCATGCACCTCCCTGGACGAGGCGGACGATGACTGTGACGCCAGTAAGTGCTGTCTGTTTGTGGGACGGAATTGCTTGACGAAAATCCGCGTGAAATTTATTTGAGTGACAAAAGATAATTTACAATCTCTTATCTCTCTCCCAAGTCTCAAACATATCAGGAAATAACTGCTGGGGCTTTTGTGGCCAATTTGTCTTTGAATATTTACAGTTTCTTGACCTTTTACATTTTAGAAGGATGATATTTTTTTATGGAAACTTGAACCCTATGAATGGGCCCTCAACTATCCTACACTCGAGATGTGGAATAATACGCAAAAATATATCTGAAAATCCGGGACCTTGATACGAAATTTGATATGATCCCATAAATAAATATAGGATTTGTCCAAAAATGTGACGTTGCACGAAGTGACGTCACAATGATGGTATCAGTCAGAATTCCATAAAAAGTTACGGTTTTTCGAGCTATAGTAAAAAACAATCTGAACAAATTAACAACTCATCCCAACTTACTGTGCACTGTTCCAGTGGTCGGGTCTGGAAGACTGTCCTGGCATAATGTATATTTACTTACAGATGATCAATTATTGCTGATCCCTTTTGTGTAATAAAATGTTAAATGTTCACTATAAGGTCATGCAACAAAAAGAGCTTGTAAGTAAACCAATGGACGTCATGCCTGGTTGTGTACATCAATTGAATGTATATTCTTGGGTCTTTCGGTAAAGTCACGTGGATATGTTAAAAGAAAATAACAAAAAAAACCACGACGTTTTGATTGCAACACGAAACGTCGTAGTTTTTTTATTTTTTTTGTTATTTTCTTTGAACCTATCTTCGTGACTTTACCGAAAGACTCAAGAATATGAATTCTTGCAGTCACGAAAGCTTTAATAATTGGAATGTCACTATTTTTGTCACTATTTCGGTGCAGTACTGCCCCCCCTTGGACTAATGTTGTTATTGCAGACGCAAATGCAGTGCCCTGCTCGGAACACTTTTTCAGCAAATGGCCACGGAGTGAATATTTCAACTTTTGCTGGAAACAAAAAACACACACAATTTAGCGCAGTCTAGTGGATGCGTTACACGCAGATCTTTGCACCACAGTAGCGAGATGTTATATTCGTGGGTTTGCAAGCACTGGCGGAGCCAGTGGGGGGGGGGGGGGGGTGGCACGTGCCCCCCCCCCCAATGATCCGATCGAAATCCCTCATTTTGATCGGATCACTGGGGTTTATTAGTAATAAATCGGCATTTTGCGACCCCCACTGCCACTGTGTCGCATATTATTACGTGCCAGGGACTCGATGAGATGATAGTCCATAATTGGCAATAAGTAACGGCAAAGCAGTTATAAGTGAAACTAGATTAAAAGCTTTCATGACTGCAGGAATTACTCTTTGGTTCTTTCGGTGAAGTCACGTAGAAAATAAAATCAAATAATAATAGAATACGAAGTTTCGGTTACAACGCAAGCAAGCATCATCAGGTAAGAATGACTGATAAAACACAGACACGGGAACAGCATCGGCAGACACACATGCAGAGAGAGACACACACAAAGACACACAGAGCGTGTGTGTCTCGCTACCGAGACGTCGTATTCTATTATTATTTTATGTTCTACGTGACTTTACCGAAAGAACCAAAGAGTAGTTATAAGTGACTCACAGAATTGTGCGTAGTTGCATATACAGTTTACTACTTCCCTGAGGGCATACCTTCAGCGAGCGCGATGCCGATCACACACGGTTCGAATTCGACCCTCGATCGACGGCAGCGCCATCGCCGCACACGTGTCGCGTAAAAAGCAAAGGACAAGGCCTTACTTATATTCTTAGCTCTTTCGGTAAAGTCACGTTGAAGGGAAACAATAAAATAATAAAATATATAAAACAATAAAAATTCTCACGACGTTTCGACCATAACACAAACGGTCGTCATCAGGTGTGTCGGTTTGCATTAATTTATTTATTTCTAGAACGGTGTATTTATTTATTTTAAAAAAACGTCAGCGTCACGCGCAGCGATTTGGCAGTTTATTTAGAAGGACTAGTCCATCTATGTTCTGAAAGAGGAGGGGGGAGACGAAAAATTAATGTATGCTGTCTGAAAGCCACTGTAAGCGTGAACAATCAATTAAGACCTGAAATGGTTAATCAAATCTTTCCAATGATTGCTAAGCCAGAATCCATCTTCTCGGTTGAAATTGTCTCTGTGCTTGTATATGTGGATAGCCTCATGAACGAATCTCTCATGGTAGCCAGATGGCTTGCAAAGAACCTCTGTCTTGGAAAAGTCAATGTCATGTGAGCCTACTGAATTATAACAATGATCTGCCACGGCCGAGGTGTTGGTCCTACCGTGTTTAAGGTCTGCTTTGTGTTCACGAATGCGGTCCAAGACATGGCGTTTGGTTTCTCCAATGTAACTACTACCACAGAGGCAACTTAGTTTGTAGACACCAGGGTACTGTATGTCCGGAATCACATCTTTTACAGATGGAACCAGATCACGGATTTTATGTAATGTGTTGAAACGGACCTGGATCTTGTGTTTATTCAAGATTTTGGAGATCTTTTTTGTGATCCCCTCAATGTAGGGTAAAGTGATGGTTTTGAAAGGCTCCTCAGGAGGGTTCTTCTTCATGGTTTGAGTGATAGCTTTGCGGATTGTATAGTCGGAGTAACCATTAGCCTTAAGAGCTTGGTGTACGTGCTTGAGTTCACGGTAGGACCAACACCTCGGCCGTGGCAGATCACTGTTATAATTCAGTAGGCTCACATGACATTGACTTTTCCAAGACAGAGGTTCTTTGTAAGCCATCTGGCTACGATGAGAGATTCGTTCATGAGGCTATCCACATATACAAGCACAGAGACAATTTCAACCGAGAAGATGGATTCTGGCTTAGCAATCATTGGAAAGATTTGATTAACCATTTCAGGTCTTAATGGATTGTTCATGCTTACAGTGGCATTCAGACAACACACATTAATTTTTCGTCTCCCCCCTCCTCTTTTCAGAACATAGATGGACTAGTCCTGCTAAACAAACTGCCAAATCGCTGCGCGTGGCGCTGACGTTTTTTTAAAATAAATGAATACACAGTTTAAAAATAAATTAATTAATGCAAACCGACACACCTGATGACGACCGTTTGTGTTATGGTCGAAACGTCGTGAGAATTTTTATTGTTTTATATATTTTATTATTTTATTGTTTCCCTTCAACGTGATTTTACCGAAAGAGCTAAGAATATGAATTACTGCAGTCACGAAAGCTTTAAATTAAAATTTAAGGCCTTACTTACTAACAACTCCTATCATTTTTCATTACTGGAGGGGTTGCCCCCCCCCCCTTCCTGAAAATTCTGGATCTGCCATTGCTTGCAAGTTCTGTTTGTGGTGGTTGCATGGTTTTTCCCCTCCACATTTAGAAACTCATTATTTGGCTGCTACTTTCCAGAGGCAACCTGTGGCCAAGTTGCCTCTGGAAAAGAGCGAACAGCGCAGTGGGTTGTTCATGATCTTTTCCAGTTGAAGGCAAGAGTTAACACGTAAGAGATCATCTCACAATGTGGTTTTAGGCCCAGCTGCCTTGAGGAGCTAAAAATGGGGAGAAAAAAAATCGGCTTTTTTTGTTTGCCTTAAAAGCAGTTACACTTGCGCGATGCATTCGCGTGAACAATGAAAACAAGCACAAATGTGTGTCCTTGTCTTTGCTGCCCTCGAACTTCGAGAGAGCTGCTCACTCCTCCCAATCAACAGGCTATGTTGTCATTGCAGGCGGGTACGCCGAGGGAGAGAAAGGCGGCGACGATTCTGAGGATGACAACGATAGTGACGATGAAGACGAGGAGGAGGAGGGCAGCATCGACTCGACCGAGATCCTTCCGGTAGCGTCCGCGTCCCAGGGCTCGGCAGCTGAGCGGCACCCGTCCGACAAGCCACCACGCTCGACAGGCTCCAGGTCCCCCAGTGAGTGCCCCGCGGCCAAGAGCCCGAACGGGACCGAAGACGCGCACCGCGAACGTGGCGCAGGAAGACCCGAAGCCATGGCCACCGCCAGCTCCCCTCGCTCCCCAAGCCTCTTCAGTCACCTCCCCCTGCACTCGCAGCTTCAGGCAGAGAGGACCTTGCTGCCCATGCTGCAGGTGGGCAGCGGCGGTGCCGGTTGCGGCGCAGGAAGCTTGCAGCTGCTCGCGCCGACCAGTGCCGCCCTGCTTCCCACTGTCCCAGAATGCACCTTGGCCGGCGGAGGAGGTTTCGTCGGCTTCGTGAGTAGCAGTGGCATCACGTCCCTGCGCTGCTTGCCTGTCATGTCCCTCCCGCTCGCTACCAAGATTTCCACGGTGAAGGCCCTGCCCCTAATTCCTGGACAAATCCCAGACCTGCTCGTGCCAGCAGAGGCCAGCGGTGCAAGCGGCCGTGCCGCAGTGGACAGCCAGGGGCAGGACGCGGCGCGGGAGTGCCGGATCTCGCACAACGGACATAGTGTGGCTGTCACTCTGACCAGAGCTAATGAGCCCACGGGTGTTTAGGTCATCGGGGTGAAGATGAGAAATCTATTCGGTTCTCTGGCACCACTGAATTAAGTTAATTGTCATTTTTTTTTTGGCGTGTGTACATACTTTGTTTTTCCCTTGTTTTTTGGTATTGCCCCCTTTAATGCTTTTTTTTATCTCCTTTTCAGCACCTTGTTTTTAAATGCGATTTTTTTACTGAAAAGTTATATGTACATATGACTTGTATGGGTGTTTTTTTTTTTCTCCAAAATGTTATTTACTGTTAAATTATACAGATTGCTATACCCAGTATGACAATTGCGGCGAGGGTCGTTTTAATTTTGGTTTGGCAGTTACCCAACATCTCATAAAGTTACCACGTTTTACGAGTTAAAAATAATAGTTCTGGCCCCAGGCACAATGGATGCACAAAAAAACATCAGGAAATTACGTTTAATTGAACGAGTGTCAAAGTTGAAAATATACCATGTGTTTTCTTTGGCAACCTGTCTTTTAACACGACATGTGATTGTGTTGAGAGGGGCTCTATCCTGGAGACACCAATTTGGAGTAAATCTACTATTTAATTATTTCTGGGTTTATTCCCCAGCATCCCAGCATGAGGCTTTGCTGCCTGCTGGCTTTTCAAATTAGGCAATTTTCGTAAACCTCACTCCTCACCTGAAATTGCACAAATACGACGTTAATTGGTGGTACAACAATTTCTTCAATGCGCATCCTCAAAATGTGATTGCGAGAAAAAAACACATTAAGTGCCTTAGATCCGAATAATATTTCTTTGTGGTCCCCTAGGTGAACTTGAGGGAACAAACCTCACACGTTCAGGGAAACAATCAGCAATATTAACTTAAGTACTGTTTGCAACCATTGTCGTGATTACTGCTCTTAAAACAGCTCGATCAAATGTTTTATAATCAAATACATGACAACCTGTTTAATATTTACTACAAATGTAACATTAAACATTGTACATTTTGTTGCTCTTGTTTATATTCACAATTTTAATGTGACATTTGACCTTCGGTTGTTATTACGGTTATTGTTTTGTGTACGAGGATACATTTTCGTCTAAATGCAATTACTTCATGTTAATTTTTACGAGAAAAGTGTCCGAGAATTATTTTCACGCGAGTGGAAGAGAGCTGCAACAAATGAAGCCAAATATTCACTTTCATTATCCAGCGTTGAGCAAAGAGATGTACGTCAACACATTTTCGCCTTCAAAAGCGTAGCTTTGCTAAAACCCAGACCAATTTTCACTCTGTCTCACTGGCGTTACTTCAACTTAAACAATTTACATCAATTTAAAAGCAATAATCCATGTTATTACCTTTATCTCTCTCTCTCTCTACTTTGATACTGTCCTTAATTGACACCCAACCAAACAGTGATGCACTTACACACTTGGGTTGCCGCGATATAATGTTTCATGATATGATATTAAATTTCACGATGTGAAAATTATCACGGTGTCAGTTGCCCCCCCTTCACTTTGTAATTGTGATTCACGTTATTTTTCATCACGATGTTGTGCGTCGATGTACATAAAATATGATTTGTAGATTGCTTAAAAATTATTCGGCCACAGTTGAGAATGAGACTTCCAGAAGTCTTTGTAAACTTTACATCTTTACACCTTATCATGCTTATATTGCACATGCTGTTATATATCCGCTGCTGTCAATTTATCCAGAAAACATTTTGCAAAGCGCAAATTTAATGGGCAACAGCTATTTATTTTAGATATTTTGTTAGCAATTGTGAACTGTAATTATTGTTATTTTATAAACATTTTGTTGGGGACAAAATAAGTTTGTTAATATACTAGCAGGCCACATCTGACCATCCGTCCCTATTTCCAGCCAGCCAGCCAGAAAAAAAAAAACTTTTCTATCTAATATTGTGTGATAGCATATCCTGTGCATTTGCGTGGGATACACGGCCGTGTGAGGGGGAGACATTCAAGAACCTGGTTCAACTTCGTGGGATGCAGCTGATGACATCACGACACCACGCAGATGAGCGCAGTGACGTCACCCACCTCGCACACACGCTTCCCCGCGCCAGCCAGCCAGCCAGCAAAACTTTATTTCAAACATAGTATGAAAGTGAGCAAAGCACAATATGAGGCTATTGTGCGAAACGAACAATTTCGATTATCGGGCATCTTTCAACATGTCGTAATATTACAATATCGTGGCAACCTTACTAAACAAACGGCATGCTGAGGCTGCGTGACCAGTATTTGGCTTATGTGTAGAGGTTGTGGAAAGAACTGGAATGGCCATGACGAGAGGCTGCTGTGTTTTCCCTTTGTTTGCCGTCGCAACAACTTTAACAGACATTGTGTTGTCTCGTTCCACGTCTTACTCTATGGTAAATTGTCAGTGTTTTCTACGGTTTTTTTGTTTTGCTGTTCTCCGTTTAGTACCAACAAAGAGCACTTAAATATTAAGCATCCGAACACAAGCGTGCAAACGTTCTGCATAGGATGTGGCCAGCTTGTTTTCCTGATGCGCAGCAGAGGAAGCATGTCCAGCGCACTGCAGAAGCCCCGTTTATGCGGCAGACTAAACACGATGCTGGCACACCGATTGCATTATCACTGGTCAAAACTGTTGCCTAATGTGAAAAGCCGTGCCCTCGGCTGCTCTGGAGACCACAAGCTTCCAAAAAAATGTACGGTGTCCATTCAGGTGTCATCCATGAATGAATAATAACATTTATTAGCATTGGCTAGCTCAATAAATGTATACACAAGCGCACGCTTGGCAGCACGATGTGTTTCTTACATGTATACGGAGCCTGGGCTGTGCGTGTAGCTGCTCTGCGTTGACATGGGTGCGGGTAAGGACCCATATCCAGCTTGTTTAAGTCCCAAAGGTACCTTCGATTTTGCCTGAAACGGCACGTTGGAATTGGGATGGACACGAGTCGGTCACATGCAACTCGACATGGGCAATGCAATTCAGTGGCAGATTTGACCAGCTGAAATTGGCCAGATTTTCCATTCTGACCGGCTGGGGATCGGCGATGCTTGAGCTCATCATGACTCCGGCTTAACTAAGATCCATGGTAGAATCGCAACAAAATCCCAATCTCCTGTTGTGCTGCCCGTTTTCTGCCCTCTTAAACTGCCGCATGTCCCGCCATAGCATTGGCGGCGCGTCGTGATGAGATTTTGAGGGAGACCCAGATGTTGTCCAACATCTTGGGTGTAGTTGTTGTGGTTTAACCACGTAGGGTTTCGCGACCAATATTCATAATGAAGGTTTTTTTGGGGGGGTTAGATCGCGTAAGTTTAAATGTGCCGTTAACCCACCGGAAACGGAAAGATCTTTTCATCATCCTGGAAAATCGCCCGATGAAGCTGGATGTAATCACCAGCGAAACGTCGCCGTACTCAAATTCTAAATGTTGTGGGTTTACTCTCCAATACGCCGGTGTGCTGAAGTAGCAACTAATTGGCACGTTTTGTTTACGTTGTAAACCTTACTAATTGTCCGTGCCCCGGGTGGTGGCGGGTTTAACGACGAATTTATATTTACGCGACCTAACCCAAGTAACCTTTATTATGAGTAGTTTTTTTTTCAACGATTCTGTTACGTGCTGTTCAAAATTTGCTGAAGAAGACAATGTGAATATTTCAACCACATCAGTTCAAACTTTTTGTCTAATTGTGTGTTTTTTTTACATAATGGATGATACCATTGTATACGCAGTGTACGTCCTGTTGGGAACAAACACAAGATGGAACAACAACGAAACTGGCTTTTTGAGACAAAAAGTGGACGGTTTTCATTGAGGAGTTCCAAAGCACTCGTGGGAGTTTTAACAGCAATAATGGGGTACTGTGATTTACAGCATCCACCAGTAAGAATGTAACAGCAGCAGTAATTAAAAAATTGATGTAAAAGTAAACAAAATAAAAAATGTGCCCTTGATTGTTCTTTTAATGAGGAAAAATGTAGCCACTTATTTTTTTTTTTACAAATAATCGATAGCCATGCTTGAGGCAACACGTCCACAGCAACCATCCACACGGTGGCAGTAGAGTGCTCGATACTTTTGTAAAATAAAACAATTGAATCGCAACAGCATGCAACAGACGTAACAATATCGGTCTCTGATTTAGATGAGTAATTTTGCATTAAAAGTTGAACCGAAACATTGGGACTCTTTGAGTATATTCGCGATTGCCATTTTTTTGGGCAAATACAATTATTTATAGTCATTGACAGCCACCCGAGTCCCATTGCTTGTCATTCCCTACGTCCTTGGTGAGTGATATCTGAAACAATAATGAGCTCCCCTTCACCAACCCATGCTGACCAGCTTGGTGAAGTATGGATGCATAACCCAAACGACTAACAAGGCATGGGGGAGGGGGGGGGGCCTTCGCCCACTTGATTGAGGAAGAACTTGTTTATTATGTATATGCTGATAAATTTATACGTTCCTAAATAGCACCAAATCGGTAAGGAGCTGTGGAGGCAGATTTACCGGAACTCTAAAATAAGCGCCTCGATGAGACTGTAGAATCGATCTGCTACTGACATCCGAACAAGTTGAATGGACCGAATGGGTTCTGTCCCGTTTGTAACCTTTCTATTGTTCATGCTAGAGGGTTTTTTTTTAATTAGATCGCGTAAATATAAATGTGTCGTTAAGCCCGACACAGCCAATTACTTGCTATCGTTCGTGTACAACTCCAATGAGTATTTATCACCGCAGATAATGCTATTCATGTCTCGTATTGAATAATGATTCGGACGAATTTAACATAAAACCCATATTGAGTTTTCTTTCCTGCTGATGACTGGAGGGTCAGTGTGTTTTGCAGAGTGCAAGAATGGTATTTTGCAGTGCGGCCCACTTAAATTGTAAGGGTGTCACGATCTATTAAATACATTCTTGCGATTCAGGGCCGTTGATTATATTCAACAATAGATTTGTTTTGCATTGTGATAACTTGTAGAGACCTCTGGTGGCTTTAAAGGTCACGTGAATGCATTACACACTTTTACAAAGAATTAAACGCATTCTTACGCACAAGATCCGATGCACGTTTCCTGAGCTATAAGAATTCACAATAATTGATGAATCGCTGAATTGTTACACCAATAGCATTGACCTTCAACTGTCCTCAAATCAATGCCACTACTGCTGTTTTATTGAGGAATCTCATTCTCGAACCGGAAATTTTCACACCTTGCATGCCAGCGTGAAATTAGCATCTGTAAAAAAAAAAACCGTGACGCACAGCTAATAATTGTCATGACTTTTGTACCTCACGGTCGATACTGTGGGTGAGCCATTGCAGTGTGAATATTGGTTTCTGAAGATTGAGTTGTTATGGGACTTTGGTGAGCCCTCTCAAATTCTCGTGCCATTTGGGCAACCATCGAATGTCGGGCACGAAGTGTGAGGACAGTCGCGGTTGTGTGAAAGCTCGCTTCTAACCCTGCTGTCGAATTTACATATTTTGGCTTCCTAATGATACACTTTTAGTCACGACCCCCCCCCCCAGCTTCCAACCACATTGCACTGCAGATATTGTGTTTTCCGATTTTGTCAAATTTAGGTTAGTTGCTAAATATTTCAATCTGATAGCGAGTGAAAATGTCTCATTTTGATCTGCAATTATGGCCTCTGCTCAATTGTTCATAGTCTTTAAACGAAGCCAGGTCACAAGGCATGTGAATCCTGATAGGAACGTGGCCTCACTCTACCAGGGCCTGAATCTTGAGTAATGGAGCCAGCGTCTCTCACCAAGCTTCAGCCCCACGCACAGACTCGGTGAGTAGAGGATAGCAGTGCAGTTACTTTTAGACAATGTAGCAACTCATGGATTCTTCCATTACAAATGTAATCTTATTCTCACAATACTTGCGTTGAATGGAGCGTCCGAGAAACAGTTCTCTTTATATATATTTAGACAAATTAGATGTTGAACTTCTTTCGCACCGTACGTAGCCAACCGTGCTCATCAGAGGTCATGTAAATTACGTGCCCGTGTACCTTCACGGTGAAAGGAACGTGCCAGACAGACAGACAGCACAAACGAGTACAGCACAAAGGTTTTTCGACAACAATTAAGGGGGGAATCCTTGAATTGAATCGTGACCGCGCCGCGGCAGATGGACCCCTGGCATGCCCAGTTCGCGTGGAGCCCCGGGTAACGAGTCATCTTTACTCTTTGGGTTCTAACGAGTCATCTTTACTCTTTGGTTCTAACGAGTCATCTTCCCCGGCGGGTGGGCACGCTGGAGGCTTTCACGACCACGCCCGCAGGGCATCGGCTCCGGGTTTCCACGTTGATTAACGCCCAATGCCGGAACGATGGTATTTAATGTTAGCCATGTGCGCCTGGGGTCTTGCTTCATATCCCTGGTGTGATTTGGAAGTGTGGTTCTGTGTTTGCTTTTTGCGGGTCAGGCCAGGTGTTGGATTGTGGTTTTAAC